GGCAGTATGGATATGAAGGATTATTCAGAGGAATGGGAAGAAGTTTGTCCCCATTGAAAACCTGAAAGGAGGTCTGGAGACTTTGGTCTGTAGAGGCATTGGTGCAGTGTGTCTCCCTTGTGGTGCAAGAAATAGGAGGTTGGCAGAGCTACACAGTGGATCTGGATCAGCATCTAAACATCCTGTTTGGAAGGGGAGATTGCATCAACACCATTCCTCTAGTTTCCCTCTGCTTACCCAAAGCAAAGGTCAGCATTTCAGGCATTTCAGTCAGTGGTAGGATGGAGAGATGGACAAGAAGCAGAAGGAACAGAGAAGAGCTATCTCCCCCTGTCTCACCACATTGCTCTCATGAGGGTTGGCCTCAGCCAGCACTTCTTGGCACTACTCTTTCCATGTACCCTTATCTCTGCAGTCAGCATCGTTTCCTCAGTTTTCTCCCCTGTTCTTAGATCCTACACAGTCAGAAGAGCTCTTCTTACTGTTTCTGTCAGCTCTGAACCAAGCTCCATCCCCAGCAGATGTTGTGATCTCATCCACTTCTTCACGATGAGCTGAGGTACCCGTAAGGTGTGAATGGCAAAGACACAATCCTAAGGTGGGAGAGAGATGTATGAGAGAAACTCTTGAGGGTAACCTGATAGGGTGGAGATGATAGTCTGTAGGACTGTACAGGGACAGTTCAGCAAGTATAAGAGCTCCACTACGTTGGGCATGGAGGAAACAAAGACATAGCCCAGAAGAGGCCAGGATGAAAAACAAAGGTTATGGGTTTTTGGTTTTGCATTCTTTGTGTGCTGTGTGATCTTTCGTTGTTTGTCTTGTTGTGTTTGGTTTTTTCCCTACATCTGATCAGTTAAGATGTGTCTTCACTGAGAGGCAGAGGCAGGTGAAAGCATGCACATGACTTGCATGCCTTCTGCTAGGCTGGCAACCCTTCAGCAGCATGATCTGTTTTCCATGCTGTGTACCGGGTAAACAAAGAGCTTGCAAATGGATGAGTACCTCTCTTGACTCTTCTTCTGTCTGATGTATCCAGGTGCCTGGAACTTAAAGGATAGGATTACTTCTTCTAATTCTGGACACTTAGGGCGAAACCTGAATCTACCCATCAAGGTAGAAGAGCCACTGACATCTCATTGCAGAGGTAGAATAACACCTCTGCCAATGCAGCAAGTATTAGCAGAATATGGCCCTGGAATGTTGTTTTAAATTCCAGATGATCAAGCTGGGGTTTAATTGCCATCCCTAACTGAAGTCTCCATGGCATCCTCAAGAAACCTGGGATTTGCTTGGCTGTTGGACATGTATGCATCTGTACTTCCCTTTCCTGTCTCTGAATTTGAATGTTTCAACCTCACAGAGGTGTTGTGAAGATTAATTAGCTCCAGGCACAGCCCTCTGAGATCCTCGGATGAGAGATGCTATAGGTGTGCAAAGTATTAATTTAACATTATTAAAATAATTGGTTAGAGGATAGTGAACAGAGGGTTGGTGTTAGCGGTATTTACTCTTTATGGGAGGTGAGGAGGAAATAATACTCCTCATGGTTCAGTGGTAGAACCAGTTTCTTAGTGTTTGCACTAATGGTTTAGGCAGCAGCAGGACACTTGGAATTGTTAAAGATGCAGCTGATATGAAATAGCAGGTGTTATTAAGATATACAGAGAAGTGTCACGTCTATACCGTAATCTTATGCAAATAAGCTCAGGAATGGAATATGCTCTTTTAGGTGTCTTAAGTGTAATGTGATGCTACTGGGTGGGAGTTATACACCAGCTAATTATAGCATGAATAGCACTGAATTAGGTTGTATGGCAGTGGAAAGTGATCTCAGCGTATTGACAGAGCCAGCACGTTGGAGTTACTGATATTTTATTAAAGAGAAGCAATTATTGGCAGTACAAGATATTTTTCGACAGAAGCAGCAATAGAGAGGGCAACAGATGCAGCAGTTGAGAGCACAGATCTTTTTTGGGCTACAGTGGCCCCTTTGGGCAGCTGCCTTAGTGGTCAGGTGCTTTGCTGCATTTGCTTTGGTTTCTCATGTGACACCATTTGGGGATTTAAGAGATCAATGTCAGAAGACAATCATTTCCTCTTCACATGCTGAAACAATTTTCCCTGCTGTTTTCCCTGACTCCTGAGGGAGAGTGTAATGTTAACAAAGAAGGGAACAGACTCTGTAGCAGGGTCTGATAGGACAAGGGGAAATGGTTTCAAACTAAAAGAGAGGAGATTTAGAATGGACATTAGGAAAAAAGATGTTTATGATAAGGGTGGTGAGGCACTGGAATGGGTTGCCCAAATATGTGGTGGATGCTCTGTCTCTCGACACACTCAAGGTCAGGATGGACAGGGCTCTGAGCACCCGATCAAGCTGTAGTGTCCCTGATGAATGTGATGAAGTGGTTCAGGAAAGAGGAGATGGGTGTAACCATGTGCAAAAGACTCTGGAGAAGAGCCTCAATCACTCCTCCCTGCATGCTCTGAGCTGCAGAACCCACTGGCAGGTGGCATTATGCCTTTAGTCTTGATTTAGGCAGCAGCTGGGGTCAGTTACCTGCAATCAATTATGCTGCTGGCTCAAGAAGAGGATCTGCGATACTTACTTGAAGGTTTGAACCCCATCAGTTACTCAAAGCCAGGCTTGGTTTGGCTCTGTGTGGCAGAGCTCCCTTGTCACTACATTTGGGTGTGAGGCAGAGCCAGGTGGTTTTTTTTTTGCTCGTTTGTTTTTTTCTTTTATCTTTTGTTTTAAATTGAGACATTTCACTGGAAAAGTCAGACAGTTAAAGTCAAATGTTATGAAGTGGCAGAACTGAGGTCACCCATGGAAAAAAGAAATAATAACGTGTGATCCTGTAATTAAAGTCTGGCTTGCAGAGTGTCAGCGCGGGGAGCAGATTTAAGAATGCAGAAGCTACTCTCAATCTGCCAGAACCTAATTCCTGAGAGCCTGACACTGCAACCTTATCTTCATGCTAAAACCAGGCTTAGTTTGAGGCAGTTTTCCATCATTTCATTATTTGGATTGTAATACACCTTTCAACAGATGTCAAGGCTGTAAGATGCATCAGTCTGAGTGAGGCTTTGGTCTGAAGAGTTTCATCTCTTTGATGTCTATGAGCAATAAACAGCAGGATAAGGTTTTGATTGGTCTTATAAGGTCTTTGAAAGACATCATTTAGTGGGCATGATGGTGATGGTCGGACTTGATGATCTTAGTGGTCTTTTCCAACCTTAATGATTCTATGATTATTATATTGAAGCTCTATGGTGGGGCTGGGAAGACAAACCAAGCTCCTCGGAGCTTGACCTAGACCAGTGTGTTGTCCTCCTGTTTAAAGATGCTGGATGCATTTGTGACTTCTTGTGCTGCTACACTTGAACTGCTCCGTTACTTTTAGAAAATCCAGATGTTTCTGTCACGCTGCAGTTGGGAGAGAATAAATGGGAGGGAGTTGGGCTTCTTGGAGAACTTAGGCTCTTGTGCTTTGACACTGAACCCCAAACGAGTTTCCATCTGAGCTATTCTCAGGAGATTTCCTACGCCCCACAGAGCTTTAATGGGATTGCTGTGCCTATTTGTTTTACAGAAGTGCTTACCAAATTCTCAGGTCAGCATTTTGCTGTGGCTTTCATTCCGTGATAGGGGACTTACAGCAGTTAATCTCCTATCCATCCAGCCCTCTGGAGACTGCGCATTTAAAACTCCTGATCCAGCATGCGGCAGCACTAAAGGACACTTAATGGAATGAATGCTCACAGGGAGCTGCAGTGCTGCTCTTGCTCTCTTATATCTGCAAAGCAAACCAAGAGCCTGCTGAGAACGGCAGAGATCTCTCTTTATGATGCCTGCCACTGGAAACACACAACTTTACCATAAAGATGGAGCAATATGAATTCTAAATTGAGACGTTCATTTTATCTAGTGTCATTTGCTAGAGAGAAGCTAAGCCCTAAAGTTTAAGGCCAGACTCCAAGCTTTGTAACATTTGGAGTCTGCCATATGCTGGATTTGTTTCACATGTGTTGCCTTAGATTCCTGCCTGCAAATCCCTGTGCATAGAGGTGCAACCTCTGCTCTTGGAAGAAAGCACGGTGAGGGGTGATCATGGAGCTAATCCTCCACCAAATCCTCCGAGCTTGCAACTAAAACTCCAAAGTCTGGGAGTGGGTGAATAATTTAACATCTGCACTTAGTCTTTATAGCTGATTTTAATGGGGGGTAATAGCACTGCTAATAACAAAATCTATTGCAGACACCCTGTGCAAGTCCATAACATTAGCTTAATGGCAAAAGGTAATTGGCATGCAGTTGGAGCTGTCCTTTTGTATTAACCCTGTGGATTTTTAGGCAGATATCCTCCTTGAAGCAGTGGCCTTAGCAGCACATGTTGAGTGCAGTGCAGATGTATTTTACTCCAAGTGAATGCAGACATGGATTGAGGTGGGACACACCACTGCCAGTTCACATTGCTGCCTTGTGTCTACTCCTGGCAGAAAAGATCAGAGATGGTGACTGTGCTTTCAGCACTCGTGGTAAAGAATGAACAATTTTAGGGACTTCTGCTGAAGTGCCATCCACCCATCTCATTGCATTCACTGGGAACTTTTTCAGATTCGACCATGGGAACTTCTCATTAGGTGTTTTCAAACCAGATGCCAAAGAAACCTGTATTTGCTAGGGACCACTTTAGTTCCTTGGCAATGGATTGGAGAGCTGCTCCTTCTCAGCAAAGTGATACTAGCAGCTCAAAAGTATCACAAATTTGCAGTATCCTTAGAAGGATCAAATAACATAGACTACGTACAGCCAGTCTATAAGGACATTCATCCCTCCATAAGATGTACCACATTTTGAAGGCTTTCCAACCATCGCAGTCCCAAAGGGAAAAGTGTTGACTTTCCATCTGAAATGATTGCTTCTCCCACGTCCTCCTTGTCCCAGCCTGACTTCATGTTAACCCTGTCCATCTCTTTTCCTGTTTGCTCAGGTGCACAAGGAAGGAGCGGTGTGAGCGCTCCAGCGAGCCTCGGAGATTCGCCTCGGAGATGAAGCAGTGTGTCCGGCTGACTGTGCACCCCAACAACATCTCTGTCTCCCAGTACAATGTATTGGTAAGGAATGTTGTCCCTGTCTCCTTCAGGTTTAATCTGCTCATATGGTCTGATAGACCCAGATATGTGCAACCTGGATTCTGCAGGATTGGGAAGGGCTGGCAGCATGATGCAAAGGTGCTCCACAGTCCATTAAGTTCCCCAATGTCTTGCTTGGCACAGTGAAATATTCACCATGGGAGGGCATATTCAGTCCCTGGTTATCCTGGCTGGAAGTGTGGAAAGAGACTTCCCTTTTTGCTGTGAGGAGCTGAGGGCAGATGTGATGGGACTACATGTCCTGCAAGTGCTCTAAGCACACAGTAAGGTTGTCTACTTCCTTGGGAGAGGGATTTGTGAATGCCTGGGAATGGAGTTTAAGCAAGGGACATTGTCACAGTTAGAACTGACCTTCTAGAAAGAGGACAAGTGAGGACTATCATGAATTACTTCAATAAACTTGAAGTCTGCCAAGTCATTTGAGCAAGCATAATTAGCGCATATGACTTTCCTCAGCACAAAGTTGAGCCTTGATGCCCTAGAGCTACTGAAGAAAGCAGCCAATGTAAGCCACGCAGTGAGTGCTGGCCCTGATCTTTATCTGGATGTAAAGCAAGAAGTCTCTGTGGAAGTTCTAACTAGCTTATTGTTTCTCTCCCTACTCATAACAGCAGAATCTTACATGGTGAATTTCCAGTATTCCCCAAAAAGGAGAAGAGATCCATTTTATCCAGGTTATTAGGGCTCTGTCCTTTTGATCATATTAGTTTGGGCTGGAACTGAAGTGATAATTGAAGACCAAGAGCTCTGTATCTGGCTAAGCTGTTGACTAGTCCCACGCTCTGAAAGGTCTACATGGTGTTGCTGAAGGCGTAGCTGCCAGATATCTTCTAGGTGATAGTTTTTGGAGTACTAGGGTTTCTTCAGTGATAATGAAATCAGCCTTTCAAAGCCTGCATGTCCATTCATTACTGCTTTGTTTCAGCCTCTTAACTTTGCTATGACTTTACTTTCCGAGGCTTCAAACAAAATTGATCTGAGACATCTTAAGTCCTTTGGTCTTCTGGGAGTTCAAGGTTCCTTTTTCTTATTCTCTCAGTAGTTTTTGAATTCTTTTATGTTGGGATAAATCCTGGGGGACTAGCTGGCTCAGAATGATTGAAACTGATAACAGAATAAAAGACTTTTGTCTCTGGATTACTCTGGCAGGGCAATCCAACCCCGAGCTTCTGACCTTAGTTGCAATTGTCTAACTGTTGTCCATTTATCTGGGCAACATTGCCATGGGAATCTCATCCCAGACCTGTTTAGACTGGTGTCCCAGCTCATCCACCATCACCACAGATAATCTCTCAGCAAACCCAGAGAAGAGCACTGTTAGATGAATTGGTGGTGTCCTTACTGAGTCTCATCTGGGCAAAGGGATGATACTGAGTTCTTGCCTGCAGAGGCAGAGAAGGTGTGTGTGGCCAGCCAATCTTCTATCTTTTAGTTGTTAACAGAGACTTGCAAAGTTTTATCTGAGTGTTTCAGTAACTTGGGGATCAGTGAGAAGAGAGATTTGTTGGAGTGAAGTCTGTGTTCTTCCCTCATTGCAGAAGCTCCAGAAAAGGCCTGAAGGATGTAGGACTTGTTTGTTCCAGGTGAACCTTGGCTCATGAGGTTTATGGCCAAGCACTGCTGCTCTGTCCTTTGCCATATCTTCTCCATGACCCATCTTTATTCTGCGTCTTCTGTGCACAAACAACAATATTAATTAGGCAGAAGTTTCCTCTTCTCCATCTCTAACAGTATATAGATGAGGAGATAGAATGGATTTAGATCGAGTGATAAATCTATCAAACACCCATACATTTTTCCTAATCACCACCAAAGACATGATTTCCTTTCCCACTGCCGTTCCCATCACTACAAAACAAACAGTTTTCACAAAGGCTTTATGTTATGCAGAGCAAAGGCCCATCTTTGGCCTTTCTATCTTATGGGCCATAAGGTCTAGCATTAAGGGATAGCCCCAGACTTTCTCTTAGTGAGGAAAACACAATGTGAAGAAGCAGTAAGCAAAAGCAATGATATCATCCTCTCCTGCTGTATCACCTGGACATCACCAGCTTATCTTCTGTTCTTTGTACTGGTAGCAAAAACACTTCAGTATGCATTTGTGTCTCCTTTCAGTGGCTGTCACCACAGATGGGGCCTCAGCTTGTTCACAGCCGAGGCAAGTGTGGAGAGTACTTGCATTTGTGCCTGCCTCAAGTGTCTGGCTTTAGTGGTTGACCACAATAGCTCTAAATCTATAGTAGCTCATTAGCAGGTGATAAAAGTACCCTGATATGCTTCTCTGCCTTTGGACATGGCATGTCTGTGATCCAAGGGCAGGCTGGGCAAGACATTCCATGATGGACAGCAGAGGAACCTTAGCTGACCTAATGGCAGCATGAGGGTCCTGCTCTAGAGGAGAAAAACAGCCACATGCTTCTTTCCTTTCCTGACCGTGGGTAATGACATAGCAAAGCCAGTGGGTGCACATGATTAATTAACGTGGGCAATTCCTCCTTCACAGCTTTGTTTATGCATAGCTCCCAAACGCAGTATGCCCCTAAGGCCATCTTTGGTGGGATGGGCAGGAGAAATTTGTTGTGCCTCTAGGGAAAGAGGTTTATTGTGGTGAACTGAAGCCTGTAACTAGACTCTCCTTACGCAGGAACTTGGTGACAGAGCGCTCCCCCATCTGCTGATGCTAGGAGAGCAGGCCGTAGAGAGTTAGACTGGAGCATTACAGTTTCTCTGTAGTCTGCAGAGTGCCTCTTGTGAGTAGTAGTCACCTTCCTCAGAAACCGCGTGCCTTGGGGCCACCAAAGCCCTGGTCTTCACAGCCGGCTCCAAAGACTCCCTGTTTAACCTTACACTTGCATGACAGATAGAGAGCACTCCCTCCCCTCCACTGACCCAGCAGCACTGGGATGCAGTGCAGTTGTCCCTGCATAGCCACGTACCACTTGTGTTGGCATCAGCATCTCATCCCCTTCCCCCTCCACACACACATCCCTCTCCTGAATCGCTGCTTTCTGTTGAAGGAGGATGCTCTCTCTAGCAAGAGGCTCTTTGTCCAACCTCTCCAGTGTAATTCTCTCCTGCTGACCCAGCTCTGTTATTCAGCTCAGTATTTTTTTTCTCTCTCTCTCTCTTTTTTTTTTTCTTCCCCTATCTCTTCTTCCCTCCCTCCCTCTTCACTTGCAGCTGGTCTTGGAGACCTACAATGTCCCTGAGCTGTCAGCAGGAGTCAACTGCACCTTTGAGGACCTGTCAGAGATGGATGGTTTGGTAGTGGGAAGTCAGATCCAGTGCATCTCACCAGCTGCCAAAGAGGTACCACAGATCATCACAGAGAATGGTGAGTACCACACAGCTCTCAGATCTTCCACCCTTCCTCATCCCTTATCTTTATGTCTTTCATCTTGCTTGTTCTCCAAGATTTTGGCATATGGGAGCCTGAAAACAGGTTATGCAAAGCATAGGGGTGAGGGTTATGCTGCCAGTGATTACTACAGTTGTAGCATGAGTGAGCTGAATGCGTGAGTTTATGTGTGAGTGTTGAGCTACACTATCAGTACCTGCTTTTAGGTGCCTATATGCATGGTAGTACATGTCTTCAGACTGCCACCGAGTGGTAGTAGCCTATACTTAACAAAGACGAGAGTCAGATGAAGGATCTCCACTTGCTTATTGCCCAGGCTGGTGTGGTACATCCCAAGTAATGAGATTGGAAATGCTCTCAGCACATCACAACACAGCAGCAAGAAAATCCTGCAGACCTGAACATCCTTTCCACAACTTTATCCTATTCATCTTACCTTTGGATCTGCATGTTCAGTTGTTCTCTCTGTCACTGGCCATTTTTTGCTCCTGTGCTCATGCTCATTTTGTTGCTGGCTCCACCCCTGAATGATTCAGTGTAGAAATACCTTGTCTCTCAGGATGGGCCCCTTATCCCCAGCTTCATGCCCTTTTTGGCTTCCTTTTTCTAATGCTTTTCTTGATACTTTCAAGAGCACCTGTGGCTCTTGCAGAGGTTTGCTATAAAAACCTCAACTCTATTGATCACCTCATGAAGTGCAGAGAGGATGTAGCCATTATACTCCTTGGCTTCTTGTGAAATATTACTGGAGAGCCTCCAGGGATCCCTACAGGCCACAGAAATGAAGTTACACAAGCTGTCACCATCACCTCCCCCTGCTCTCCCCAAGCTGCACACAGCTGCGTGTACTCTCCACTGTGGTCCCAAAAGAAGCCCCCAAAGGGCTGTTCTCATTTTCAGGTCCCATTGAATCATCAACTATGTTTGCTTACCAAGATAGCTGCCAGGAACTATTTCCTTGATACAGACATCTGTCTCAGGCCAGGCTACAATCGACAAGCAAGCAAAAATAGCAATGGAAACTCAAGGCAGAACAAGAGAGAGAGATTTATGTGAAGTGTGGTTTCCAGAGATGCTGAGCACCTGCAGCTTGTATCAACTTCAGCAGCTGGTGCTCTGCACCTCTGCAGAGACCAAGTCTTCCATGCATAGGGCCAGAAACTGGATTTGAACCAAGGGATGTGTGGCTCTGTAGAACATCTGATCCCCGAAGCCATCCAATCCTCACATCCTGTTTTAAAATATATGCAAGACACTGGCAAAGTTGTTAAATATGAAGTGGTTAACAGAGCTGTCAAAACCGACGGCAGCAGATGGGCAGCAGAGTTGAGCACTGGCAGCAAAACGTGCTCAGTGAAGTGTGTGGTTTTGTGTGTGTATGTGGTATGTATGTGTGTATGCCTGTAGGTGGATGAGCTGAGATGAATTGTCAAGTTTACTTTGGCCTGTTTGATTAATGAATCTTTCAGGTTGAGAAGGAAAATAATAGAGGTGAAAGGGCTAGCCAAGCCAAAGTCTTGAATTAAACATGGGTCCCTTCCCCACTAAATTATTGCAATTACTGTACCCAGTCATTTCCCACACGTGCTGAGTTTTGAGTGGTGCCTTTAGCATTGTGAGAAGAGGTAGCACTTGACTGTTTGGCTTGGAAGCAGTGGGAAAGGGGAGTTAGTATCCAGAAGTTGAGGCTCAAACTTTGCTGCTGATGGGACTGCTGTGGAAATGGATTGACACTTCCAGAAGCATACAGAGGCTTATGGATGTCTCTCCCACATTAAACTGGGTTGTTTGTAGCCAAAGACTGGGGTGCATGGACACTGGGGTGAATGACGTGGAATCCCTGCCCTGTCCTGGGTATTGGGCTATATTCAGAGATGATAAATAATGATGGTGAGAAGAAGATATGCCCAATCTCCCACAGGCCCCTTCCTTTGGTGGACTTAAATGAACCTACAGGAATGAAGAACCTTATGGACAGTGCTCTATTTGAATGAGCTTCTTATTCCAGGCATCTCCATCTACTCTTTTGCACTTAGCTTTCCTACTCGCTGACTTCATTTACCACAGTTTTGAAATCAGAGATTTATTATGTAGACCTGTTGATATCATCCAGCACAGACCTTGCTTGCAGTTTTCCAGTGGTGAAGACCTAATGTATCACTGCAATACCATTGTGGAGGCAGATGTACTTTTTGGAGGTCTGAGCTGTAGACAGATTTTATTGCCATTCCTTCACCCTCTGAAGATAAACTAGTTTGTTTACTCAGGACCAGCTTCTTGTTCAGACTGGTGGCATGGCCAGCCAGGGTTTAACTGTGCTAAAGCAGTCACAAACTGTTGTATATGTTGTTTTTTTTTTTTTCCTAGGGGACCATCACATAGTCCAACTCCAGCTCAAGTCCAAGGAAACGGGTATGACCTTTGCCAGCACCAGCTTCGTCTTCTACAACTGCAGTGTCCACAATTCGTACGTCAAGTTCCTTTGATACCTGTTTTTTTCCCAACCCTGGATCTGCCACAGAACCCAGGGAGGCGTGTGTCCCTCAGGAGTTTGGTCAGGTGTGGAGGAGAGCAGCAGTCAGAATGATATCAATAATGATCAGCACAATGCTGTCTCTCCTGGGAAAACCAGAGGTGGCGTAGTGAACGTTTGTTCCACTATGATCCTCCTATGGAGGAGAGCATTGCCTTGAGTGATGGTACATCATCACATGTCCCTCAGGGAAAGGAGGATCAGTGGGAGTTTGCATTGAAGCAAGTCAAAAGCAATCTGTGACTTCAGCAAAGGGCCCTTTTTCCTTCCTAGAAGCAGTTGTTTGTGGATGGTTGGATTCCGCCCAAATATCCGCACCTCCAGCCCTTCTCAGCCCATATCAGTCCTGCCAGCAGGGTCCTGCCCCAGACGTTAGCATGGGTTTGAGCTCCCAAGTCTGGAAGGATGGGAGTTGTGGATTCTGTGTGATGTGAACAGAGTGGGGACTGCCCAGCTGATTTCTTCAAACCCATCTTCTCTATCTTGCAATTTCCTTTCCTGCCCTGTGCCACATTATCATGGGATTTAGCTGGTACACAGCAGCTGCCCCACCAGAGTAAGACTGCCAAAGCAGGATGATGTTCTTCCAGCACATTGATCCACCCCTGAGCAAAACTGAGGGCTCTGTCACCACCACTGAGCCATCAGAAGTGCCAAAAGCAGATAATTACTGTGGCTCAGCAATTCACAAGCAAAGGCAAATCCTATTTCCTTGTTCCTGCTGCTTTGACAAACAGTGTCAGGAAGCAAGTGTTGGGGGGGAGAGGAGGAGAGATGGTGGTGTTAAATATTTATGGCATGTTTTGGTTCCTTACTTGACAAACTATAATACACTATCCATTTTTAATTTGATGTATCAGAGCAAGCACTTGTTACCAATTTGAAGAACAGCTCGCTGTACCAGAGCTGAGAGTGGATTGAAGTTGAACGAGATTTCACAGAAAGACAGGGCTGAGGGTGTGTGTCTGCCTGCTGCGCTTAGCCAAGCTATCCTGGAGGCATTTTTTTCCACTCCTGCCCATTAAAAACCCAGTGGCACATACAGACCAGGAAAATTTCCTTCCAAATCCCCTTCAGGTATTTCAGAGACTGCAGCAGCATGAAGATCTCTGACAGTGAGCAACCAGGAGTTGTTACCATCTAGTGCTTGTTTTGTGTAAACAATTTGTTATGGCTCAGTGTGGTTCCTGGTGGACAGACATCATATCAAATAAATAAAAAAATGTGATGTAGGTATAAGTCAGTGCTGTAAAATAGTCTTGAAAAAGTGTTTGCAGCTCATGCTCTATGAGGACTATGGGTGTAGGAGGGCAAATGGTTGCAAAATGGTGGGACTGGCTCTTTCTTATACTCTGAATAGGTAACTTCATAAATACGCCTTCTGCTACCCAAAAAACTGTTGGGTCTTCCTGTCTCTGCTGAGACAAGGAAGAACACAGCCAAAATATGTGCAGGATCCCCATCACTCTGGACTCAAATCATAAGAAGAAGCCTGTGGGACAGTATATCCTACTTGATCCTGAGCTTGATGCATACCACTTTCTGGTTGTCCTCTGCATGACATTTGAGGGAGGCAGGATGAGAGTGCTGGTGCACCATGACTGCCCTCCATGGGCACCACTATTCTTTCAGCTTGGGCACCTTCTCATGAAGTGTTCACAGCTCTCAGAGCATTGCTGCAGTTTTGCACAGAAGCAGTGAGGCCATAACAGTTTCTCATCTTATCGTGAACATCCTCTGATTTTTAATTTTTTTGTTACACTCAGAATCTTGTTATGGGCAAAAGGGGAGCACAACTTGTGTATGAAGCCAAGGACCTGTTGTAAATCTCATTTGTTTCATTTTGAAGTAGTAACAGGGTAACCAAAATACAACAAAAATATGATTAGTCTAGTTAGAATGAAATTAAAGCAGTCTAAATTTTCTAAATAGTATAAGACACATCAGTCACTGCAAAACCCAGCTCAGGCCATAGCAGGCAAAGTGCCATCTGGAGACCTGATGATATCAGGCCAGTTCAAAGCCTATGGTTTTCCACTAGTATTGTAAAAGCGATGTTTGACAGACTATTTTTATCTCTGAAAAGCACTCTCAACCTACTGGTCTGTCCTGTTTGTAGCAGAGGCCAGCCTGTCCAAGTGACTGCTTTTTCCCTCCATCTCCAGGTGTCTGTCATGTGTGGAGAGCCCTTACCGGTGCCACTGGTGCAAGTACCGCCACGTCTGCACTCACGATCCCAGCACCTGCTCCTTCCAGGAGGGACGAGTCAAGCTGCCTGAGGTAGGCAGGGGCACATGCTGTGTGTGGGGACTTCTCAGAGATCATGAGATGATGTAGCCTTTTTGTTTTGCTCAGACCAACAAACCATGAAGCCTTCTTCAGCTCCAGTCCCACCCTCTCCCTGTTTGGCTTGCCCTCCACAAAACCCTCACTTTTCCCTCCAGATCTCCTCTTCCTCATACTGAAACCCATTTGAAAGATGGTGCTCATCCCCAGCGTGTTGGCACATCATGCAGAGAAGCTCTGCCCAGTGACACAGCTGTCTGTCAACAGCGAAGTGCTGATACCTGCAAGCTCTGCTGAGAGCCATCATATACTGGGTCATAGTCCTTGTCAAGATATAGCCAATGTCCGTGTGCTGTTGGGACTAGCAGGGCTTGGTGGTGGCTTCCATCCGAAAATAAGGCACAACTATAGGGAGTGTTCCACCTCAGGAAGCCATTGCATCTACCAGCAGTGGATGACAAGTCCCTGACTGGAAGCAAGAGGAAATACTGGTCATGCATTTTCACCTAGAGAGAAGAAGAGGATGGTGCCTCTAAGCAAATCTCCAAGCTACTGAGATCTGGAGAGTATTTAGGGCTATGAAAACAATGGCAGTGTATTTCAGCAGTGCTTCGAGGATGTTGGTGGCTTTGTGTGTTTAGTGTCTAATGGCCAGTACACCAAACTGCTTCCAACAGAAGCCAGGGAATGCTTCATTGCCAGTCTCTGAGCTAGAGCTGAACTGGACCTTGGGGCTTAATACAGAGCTGGCTGCTGCACTGCAAATGCTGTCTGGCTGTATTGTAACTAATGAGCACTTGCAGACAAGTGGAGCTCAGGAGAATACAAATAGGAAGCCACTTAATTACTTCCTGGTCAGGAATGGTCTGAAAGCATCCTGGCCTGTCTGGTAAATGACCCGAGATGGCTCGTTGTGTGCCTGGCCCAAGGGACCAGTACCCATTAATAGATCTGATATCTGCTGAACCACTGGGCACAGAGGCGGCTGCTGAAATCTCCATCGACGTGCGCTGCATTTGGAGGCTGAAATCCACACTTCTCCCTGCACTGCTTGCTGGGTCTTGTGTTCTTAAAATATTCCGTTGCCTATCCCCCAGCCTGTGCCCCAGGCAACCCAGTTTCTTGCACCAAAGGACATGCGTGTAATGGTTTCACACTCCTATGGCATCCACTGTCCCCTCCCACTACTCCCTTAACATATGTGCTGGTTGAGATGTCCTGGAGCAGACATCCTGAACTGCACAGGCGTTGGGACAAGTCATAAATATTCACGAGCAGGGAGGTTGCCAGCTCTTTGTCTAGCAGGATTCAGCATTTGCTGTTAACCTGCTGGAAAACTCACTTAGAGCTTAGAGGGTGGATATTTGATACCCTCTGCTTGGTGTGAAGCGGTGCAGAAGGCAGTCCAGGGTTCAGCCCTATTCCAACTAAAAGGAATCTATTACCTTGCATACCTCTCTCTGGTGACCAGCGATAGAACCCACAGGAATGGCATGAAACTGTGACCAGAGAAGCTCGGTTTGGATATGAGGAAAATGTTCCTTAATTAGAGGGCTGTCAGGTATTGGAATAGTCTCCCCAAGGAAATGGTCATGTCACTGCCAGAGTTCAAGAAGAATTTGGACAATGCTTTCAGCCAGCTGGTCTGATATTTGGGTGTCCTGTGTGGAGCCAGGAGTTGGACTTGATGATCTTTATGAATCTCTTCCAACTCTGAATATTCTATAATTCTGTAAAGCCTTTGGCAGAATCTGGTCAGTTTTGGTAGATGCAGTTCTCTGTATCTTCCACATCAGGAACTGGAGGTACCTCACTTTTGAGAGCAGATGGTATTTGCTGGGGCACCGTCTCATCATTTATCTCCTCTGGCAAACCTCTGGCAGGCTTTATGCACTAAGCACAAGACTCATCTTCCCAATTCCCATCTCTTCTCTCCTCCAGCCACTGCGCATGAAAGACCTACAAATGTCAGTGCATCTCCACCTGCCTCAGCTTTGTTGGTATTTCTGACTTTTGTTTCCATCAGAAAGATCGTGTGAAACTCTTCATCATCCCAGTTCCATAGGGAGAGAATCATCTGGTTTTTACTCTATTCCCACTAAGATCTTGTTCTGAAGAACTGGGGAGGAGGCAGTTGACTTGCAGCCTTCTCTAGGCCTCCACTTTTGAGCACACTTTTTCCATCACTGTATGACCTCTCATTGGGTTTCTTAAAGGAGCCAACTTCAGACAAAGAGACAGTTCAAATCTGAGAGGATTTGTCTGCTGATGCTTTCTGTCTTGTATCCCCTTTAATAGATGTGTTTCTACTGAGCTTCAAATACTCACACTCCGATCTTGCAAAGCATCAAGTAAGTGTTCAAACCCTTAAAAGACAACTATTGATCTACAAGGACTGACAGCATCGTGACATACAGGTACATTACAGTGGTCATTGCTAATGATGGTTTCAGCCCCTTCAGCTTCTGGATGCAGCAAATACACATCTGGGCACAAACCTCTTTCTCATGGAAGACATTTGGTTGTCAGCTGCTCAGTTCAGAGCTATTTTTACTATCTGCTGCACAGATTAAACACTTCCCAGCACTGGAAAGAGTGGACAGTATCTGCAAAAATAACGACCTTGCAAAATTGAAGCTATCAGTGACAGCTTTCTGCTTGGCAATGTGAGAAATGTCTTGTACCTTTAGAGTCGTTCTCGTTGCTGTCTGAGGCTCTCAAAGACAATAGAACAGGGGAAGGACAGCATCACCAATACATCTTGACAAATGCATATTTGCCTTCTCTGCATGGCCAGACAGGTTTTGTCAAATTACACTTCAAACTTTATCAATTTACACTTTTGACAAATTACAAAATAAATGCTGTGCATACATCCCACACTTCTCTTAAGAAGCCATCTTCTCACTGACTCATCTCCACTGTTTTTCAGTTTCGCCTTTAGTTCTTTCCTCTTCTGCCCTATACTGAGCTTATTCATTGAGTTCCCTGAACAGCAGAAACCATTGGGTACCTTGAAGCCAAGCCTGGTTCTCCCTTGCCCTTTCAGACCTCCACCCACTTCTTGATGATGTAACGTGACTTGGCAGGTTAACAGGGCTGAGGTGCACTTCCAGCCCTCCCAAAGCTGTCTTCAGTAGAGCTCCCAACAACTGTGAGTGGGTCTGTTTTTAATGGCTTTTCATCTCCATCTGCAAAGCTCCTTTTCTCTGCAAGTGCTTCGACTCCCTAAGGATGCAAAAAGGGTGTGTTCAGCACCATCTGGATATGAGTGCTTCTTAAACCTGGAAGTCTTGAGGACATGCTGATAGGAAACTACTACAAGCGTGGGATGGTTGGACCATCCCATTTGCAGTCCTTCCCTGAGACTACAGAGCAGATTAGCATGGCTGGCTTCCAGGATCATATGGTCTGCTTGTCCCATGAATCTCTCTGCCAAGCAAATAAATATTAGTGCTACTTTGTCACATGAATCAGGGCCAGAAATTCTCTCCCTCTGTAATCATCGTTATTGGCATGCCAAGCCTACTCCCCTCTCTGACACTATGATTTTTACTTTCCCTTTGCTGACACACCTACCTCTGGGTGATTGCTTTCTCTCTTTGCCTGTACAGCATCTCACTCTTGAGTAGGTTGAGGCTTCCCACTCTCCAGATGGTCTGATTGGGCTGGTACCCATCGCCCTGAGACCAGCAAGAAGCACAATGAAGGGAGCCTCATGCCCTTCTGCACTTCTGACTCCACCATTTCCTTAGCATACCTCATCAGCTTGTGGATTTCCATGGGTTCAGCCTTACTTTCAAGTCTTCTTCATGTGCACAGAAAAAAAATTCTTGATTATTATTTTTTTTCTCTTTTTCTTGAAGTATGAGTTCTCAACTAGTGCAGAACACAGGATGAATTCGAGACTGACCCTGGTGGAGAACAGAAGGATGTTGGCCATTATCCATGCTGATCAGAAAGGAAAATGCTGTTTATCTTTGTATAGTTAGTGACCTACTGTCTAAAGGAGCTTTTGAACCATACTGAGGACATTTGTGATCAGCCAGTCCTGGGCTAGGACAAGGCAGCTGCAAAACCAAACCTTTCTATCACCCTGCAAAACCAAACCAAAGGTGACAAATAGGATAAAGAGGCGCATCCCACACTGTCTGCAAGAAGCCAGGATTTCATACCTGTCGTTTGTTCAGTACTTGGTGAATCAGCTCTGCCCATAATGGAGCTGAATCAACTGCTTTTGGTGCCTTGGGAAAACCTGTGTTTGCTCCTGGTGAAGAACTCCAGCATGGTCGTAAAGCAAGAGTATTTATGATTATGGTGCTGAACTCAATCAAATGGGGTTGATGATGTCTCTGGATGATTTGTGGCAGAAATACTACACCTTGACGTATAATTTCCCTTTACAGCAGGTTTTTGAAAGCCAAGTGCACTCACTTGAAATATACTGTGTGAGTTCTTGCTTTATAAAAGGGAGCTGATATTATTGCTATTGGAGGCAGGAAGGGAGTGAAGGATGAAAAAAAGATGTTTTAATACTTATGTGAATTTTTTTATTTCTTTGTTGTTGGTTTTGTTTTGTTTTTTTCTTTTTCCTAAACAAAGCAGGTAGTAAAGATGGAGAGAATCACAGTCTACAGAAGGGATCAGGCTGTGTCTATATTTGTTTCTTGCACATTCTGTTTCCCCTTTTGACATTTGTTGTTGACCACTGCAAAAGTCATGCTGCAGATCCAGCGTTGCACTGTGAAGCATTGCATTGCAGCCTAACGACCAATGAAATCAACCTTTCCTTATTGACACAATCACAAAGTAAGAGCTCATTCATTCTCTCTGTAAATGGAAAAGGCAGCCAACAAGTATTGGAGGTAAACTGAGGCACAGAGTATTATACAAATTGATATGAAGTGTGATAGGAATTAATCACGCCTGATGTCTGTTACACCTGGTCCAAGTGGCATAGTTCTCATGTCAGCATTTCCCAAACATCTGCACAA